TCAGAAGGCCAGCACGTGCAGTCCTCCCCGACGGCCATGTGAGGGTGGAGGGGGCAGAAAGCTGAGGGGACGTGTTGGGTCCTGAGAGCACCCTGTTTCCCTGAGAAGGGAAGAGGAGGCTGGAGGAGGCTGGAGCAGAGGCCGGGACTACAGCCCCGCACCTGCCAGTGGGAGGGGCTGAAAACATGTTAGTGAAGGGCGAAGCCAAGAACAGAAGGAGGATGGAGAAAAGGCCACTGTCCCGGGACCAGGAAGTCCCTGGTGACTGGAGCAAAGATTTGGGGTGGTTCAGAGGAAAGATAGGCTTGACCGTGCATTCAGGAAATATGGCGGAAAAGGAAAAAATAAATAAAAAAGAGGAGGGGAATAGAATGCGAGCAGAAACGGGCGGCAGGGTCATGCCATGGCTTTTCAAATTCAAGGTCACTTAAGGGGGTTTGAAGGTGGCAGAGGGGTGTGGAGCAAGGATGGAAAGCTTCAAACTCGGGCACAGGGTCCTTTAACAGATGGCCACTGAGTGACTCAAGTTGCAGTTGGATGGCACCGGAAGTGGGAGTTTGAATGTAAAATGGCCTGTTCGGAATAGCGAAGATACTGGAGCATTCGGGGGTGAAACGGCATGTGTGTGATTCGCTTTAAAATGCTAAAAGGAAAATAAAGCGGGGATGGACGAATGAATAAGTCTAACGGTGAGCAGGGTCGAAGCTGGGGTTTGTTGCGCTCCTTTCTACTCTTGGGTTCGGAAATGTTTAAAATTAGAGTTAATTTTCAAATGTGAAATAAAATTCAGCTCCCAGCTCTTCAAGTTCCACTAACTTGTTTCTCTTGCCTTCTTGGCTATGGTCTCACTCTCCCTGGGGCAGTGACAGCTCTGTGTCTGTGTGTGTCTGAGTGTGTGTCTGTGTCTGTGTCTCTGTGTCCATGTCCGTGTGTCTGTGTATGTCTGAGTGTGTGTGTGTGTCCGTGTTCGTGTCTGAGTGTGTATGTCTGTTCCCTGGGGCAGTGACAGCTCTGTGTCTATGTGTGTCTGAGTGTGTGTGTCCCAGTGAGTGTCTGTGTCTGTGTCTGAGTGTGTCTGTGTATGTCTGAGTGTGTGTGTGTGTCTGTGTGTCCGTGTTCGTGTCTGAGTGTGTATGTCTGTGTCCGTGTCTGTGTCTGAGTGACTGTGTCCATGTTCGTGTCTGCCTGAGTGTGTCTGTGTCTGTGTCCGTGTCTGTGTCCAAGTCTGTGTGTGTGTGTGTGTCTGTGTGTCTATGTCCATGTCTGTGTGTCTGTGTCCGTGTCTGTGTGTCTGTGTCCGTGTCCATGTGTCTGTTTGTGTGTCTGAGTGTGTGTGTCTGTGTCTGTGTCTCTGTGTCCATGTCCGTGTGTCTGTGTGTGTCTGAGTGTGTGTCTGTGTCTGTGTCTGTGTCTGTGTGTGTCTGTGTCTATGACCATGCTTGCAGAGTGGGCCCGCATGGTTGAATTCTTTCCTGTAGGTTAAATGTCTTTGCAGTCAGCTCCACAGGGCTGGAGGAATGAAGATGCAGGGTCACGGGGTGGTCACTATGATGAAATGTCCCTTGGAGCTTTGCAGGGCTGGGGGAAAGGACAGGGGGAAACCTGCAGAGAGAAGGCTGGATTGCTTCAATAAGAAATTGGTTCTGTTTTGGACTCTTCCTGTGTCCTTGCAGAAGAGGGGTGGGACTCTGCATTAAAAACATGTGGGGTGGGGACGCGGACCCAGATAGGGAGATCAGGCAGCCTGCTGAGGGTGAGGTCCAGAGACGGTGGGTGGGTAGAAAAGGTGATGGTGGTTGGAACTTGAGCGGAGACGAGGCAGTCCAGACCCTAGCAGCCTCTTCCCCTGCGGGAAGGTTGGACACTATGCCTCTTTATTCCTGCTTTGCCGGCAGGTCCCAGTTTTCCCTGCCCCAGGCATCTGGCTGTAGGTGTTTGACTACAGCTTCATCTTTGCTGCGGCACATACTCTGGCCGTTGGTACCTGCCCGCACCTCCTTTATCTCCCAGTCTTTTGAGGCCTTTACTAGCTGTCATTTATGGTATGTCATCACATACCATAAAATCTAGTATAAATTTTAAATCTAGTATAAAATCTAGTATAAATTTAGTATACTAAATTTCATTTATACTAAATGAAATTTAGTATACTAAATTTAAAGAGCACGATTCAGTGGTTTTAATATAGTCACAAAATTGTACAACCATCACCACTAATTCCAGAACACTTTTAGCAGCTCACAGAGGAACCCTACCCCTTAGCAGTTACTGCCTATCGCCCCTCTCCCAACCCCTGCAACAACCAATTTAGTGTCTCTATAGATTTGCCTATTCAGGACATTTAGTATAAATGAAATGACATAGGATGCGGCCTTTGTGACTGGTCTCATTCACTTAGCACAATGTGTACCCTCGGCATATCCTGGGCACACACCCAGGAGTGGAATTGCTGGGTATATGGTAACTTTGCTTATAACATTTGGTGGCACCACCAAATTTTTCTACAGCAGCTGCACCATTTTACATTCCCATCGGAACCTATTTTCTCCATATCCTTGCCAACACTGGTTATTATCTTCTTGATCATACGTCATCAATTGTGCAAGGGGCACTTCCGTTCTAAACATGTCCTCTAGCCACGTGCTACTGCCAAGTCTCTCCTTCCCCTCAGTGGACATGTTGCCTATTGCTGTGGTCACTCGTCCTTTCCCTCTCACTTTCTCACTCCACTGGGCCCTGCTCCGATCCTCACGAAAAGCCCCGAAGCCTCACGAGGAGCGCCTTCATGTCAGTCCTCGTCTCCTGCAGACATCGCAGGGTCTGTGTGGACTTTTCCATCACGGCTCCCTCGTGAGCTCCCGCTGAATCCCCGACCGCGGGAAGAATCAGATCCTTGCCGATCTGGGTTGAGCGGAAATAACAGCGGCCGGGTTCAAGGATTATTTCCTCATTAGCTGCCCTCCAGATTCCTACTAGGGTCTCTCGGTCCCACCCTCCTCTTAATCACCTTCCTAAGTTGTGTGAGGAATGTGCTTTATCGAAGCTGAAGTAGAAATTTAACTGCCCTGGGTCATGAGGCACCAACCTCTTTCCCAAGGCCAGAAACCTGTCTTACCCTCCTAGTGCCAAATATAGTAAAAGCCAAATAAATTTGTTAAAATGAGATAAATCTATTGACGTTTTAAATGTAGAGTTCCACCAAAAATGTTATTTCTCTAAAAAACTGTAGCTATTTACTTCTCAAAATTCCCTCCAGGGTTCCAAGTATAGTACCAAAAAGATTTTCACCGCTCTGCCAAAAACTGGGTGTAAAGGCAGAGACAGTGCCCCATCCAATCAGATCAGTGTTTCTCTTCCAATGCTCACAATCCTTTCTGCTCATCATTTACCATCTTAAAAGAAGAAGGCATTCCCACTTCCAGATAACCTTCTCAGCCTGTGCATGTCCGCGGATTGGCATGTCGCCTAAAACAGGGGTCCCCAAACCCTGGGCTGAAGACCAGTACCAGTCCGTGGCCTGTTAGGAACCGGGCCACAGAGCAGGAGATGAGCAGCAGGTGAGAAACCCAAGCTTCATCTGTATTTGCAGCCGCTCCCCAGGGCTGGCATCATCGCCTCAGCTCCACCTCAGATCATCAGGCACTAGATTCTCATAGAAGCATCGGTCCCTGGTGCCAAAAAGGTTGGGGACCGCTGCCCTAAAAGATGTTATCTCTGCTGCAGGCGAGATCAAAAGGAAGCCCTGCAAGGGCCACCTCCCCTGCATTCCAATAAACGTAACGGTTCGGATGCAAGCTCCTGAGCCCGAGTGAGGCAGAGGGCATCAGAAGTCCTACGAGTTCAAAGGCTCAGGAAGCTTTTAGCATCTGGTCAGGCAGCAGGAGCTAGAGCGGTGCTGCCCCAAGCGTGCGGTCCAGCAGAGCAGTTTAACTTGGGAGCTTAGTGAAAACACAAATTCTCAAACCTTCTTGCTGGGTGGGGCCCAGCAATGTGCCCTTTGACCAGTCCTCCGGGTGACCATGATGCACACTCAAATTTGAGAAGGGCCGAGCCAGTTGCCATGTTCACGGAACCACTAGATCCAGCCCGGCGGTCGCTAACAGAGGAGGAAGGTGCTCTGCGGCCAAAGCCTGTAGACAGAGAGCGGAAAGGGCCTCCCTTCAGGTTAGGGGGTACCAACCTTCACTGGAGCGAGGGCTTCCCCTGAATCTGCACAGATAGCACAGCTACACAAATGTCGTCCCCCAGAAACTCACGTGTGTTATGAGCATCTACTTCTCCAGTACAAAGATCTACATGATTTCCTGTCTTGTTCGATACTTATAAAATCCTGAGGCCTGGGTTGTAGCCTTCCGTAGCCAACTGCGTGAATCTCTGAGACTCCGGCAAGGCAACCCGCGGCACCGTTATAAGTAATTCAGACAAACTAGAGCATCCCTGGACAGGTGCCACCTAGGGGAACCAGAGCTGTGAATGGAGACAACAGCGAAGGCGTCGCTGTGGGGGAAGTGGTAAAATGTACCAGGAAGAGAGCAGGAGGCAGGGGTGGGATGCTAGGTGATCCAGAGATGGTGTTTACACTTAAAAAATGCCTTTCCTTCCAAGTTTCCTATTTGGGGCTTTTAGGTCTTTGGGGCGAAGGATAAAGAACTGCAGCTTTCTCTCTTAAGCGTCTCCACCCAAGTGAGGAAGATCCTATAATATCAGCAGATGCCCATGGAAAATGTCTGGCATCAATTCCATAACTTGAGGTCGGCCAGGTTGAGGAGGAAGCCTGCAGAACGGGTGGAGAAGATGCAGAAAAAGAGGGAGAAGAGTTAGGTGAAATAGAAAGGCGAGGGATGAGGCTGATCTGCTCCCTTTTCCCTGCACCCCAACCGCTGAATGCCGTCTGCTCCTTTGAATCATCTGCTTGTCAGCCCTAATGAGGTCACAGCAGTAGTGACGATCTTAGTCTCCACCGGTGTCTGTGGCTAATTAGAATCAGGCAAGAGTCAGACTGCTGAGAAAATTATAGAAACAAAATATTTATTATTTTTTTTCTGTAAAAGACAAGGAAAGGGAACAGTGCCCAAGAGAGGGACATTCATATGCAAATCCTGTGCTCTTTGCCACATCTTCTTTAAATAACAAATCCCCTTTGGCAAAAGAAAACTCATGTAAGCTAGAACTGCCTTTTGAGAGCAAGGTTTAATGCTAACCCAGGATTATGATAATTTCTTAAAGTCCTATCGATTCCACCACACTATGTAGGAATTAGTTCTTTTTCCCCCTTAACTTCTGAAAGACCAAAGTGGCTAACCACGCCTGGATTGCGCTGAGGAAATAAAATGCATTTCTTTATCATCAACTACCACAGAAAAGTTTGCATCCCACGTTGTCTTCAGTAAAGTCCATTTTGCTTGCAATAGTTGTATGATCCTGATTTCTCCAAGCTCCGGTCCCCGTAAGAGAGAGATGCTGGCCAACGCTATCGGTTAAGTCTTGTTTTTCCCTCTCTTTGTCTTGGGAGCACCTGGCCAGCGGAAGCCGCGCATGCGCAGGCAGTCGGCCACGTTGTGGGCGATGTAGTAGAGGTTCAGCATCGCAGCGGGGCTGAGAATGTCCACTTCGGATTTCTTCTGCTTCTTCCCATGAGGCAAGTTCCGGCTTTTTCCTCTTTTCCCTTTACCTGGCTTTCAAAGACAAGTATACACATGGGGCAAAAAATTACTTTTTATAGCCTCGACATAATTTTCAACATACCTACTAAACTTAAGAAAAAAAACTTCCAAAAAGGAAAAGCTTGTAACAACGAAAACTTTTGCATGGAGTTGGAGGAGGAGACACATGCAATTTAATTCAACAAATGTATATTAAGCACCTCCACATTAAAAGAGACCCAACCTAATACAATGAGTGGACCTTGTCTGCATTCTGATTCAAACAAACAAGCTGCAAAAAGACAGTTTTTAGGCAACTGGGGATATTTGATACTATCAAGGAATTATTCATTCTATGAGGTCATGAAAAAAATGTTTACACATTTCAGAGATGCACGCTAAAATCTGTAAGAATGAAATTAAAAAAGGCTTGAGATTTGCTTTAAACTACTGCAGTCTCCCCTTCAAAAACAAACAAACAAATGAACCAAACAAACAGATGAAACAAATGTGGCAAAATCCTAATAATTTCTGAAGGGATATATGGGATTCATTTTACTATTCTATTTTTGTGTATGTATGAAAACTTTCATAATAAAACTTAAAGGAAAACACATTTGATAATCAGGATGCAAAAATATATTTAGGCACTTGTTATACAGTAGTCTTTAGCTCATTAAGCAGCCATGAGTATTGAGACATGAATATAAGGCACTTAGCACAGCGTCTGACGTGAAGCAAGCACTCAACAAATGACTGTTGCCATCACTTTATTGCCGCTAATCCTTAGAGCCATATTTGAAGGGGAGTAGGTATTATTTGGCTCAGCAAGGTCACAGCGCAAAGTGGTCTACCAGGCTCTGTCTGTGTTCTTGCCATGACCACACTTCACAATCTGTGAAGGAATAAACTGATAAATTCACCATCAAAATTAAAAACTTGTGCTCTTCAAAAGATATTGTTAAGAAAATGAAAAGCCAAGCTGCAGATTGGGAGAAAATATTTGCAAATCATATATCTGATAAAGGTCTTATGTCTAGAATAGGTAAAGAACTCTTGAAACATAATGAGAAAATAACCCAATAAGAAATGGTCAAAAGATTTGGACACTTCCCCAGAGAAGATACACAAATGGCCAATAAGCACATGAAAAGATACTCAACATTAAGTCATTAAGGATATGAAATTAAAACCATGAGCTACCAGCACACATTTGTTAGAATGACTCACATTACAGAGACTGACCATACTAAGTGATGGTGAGAACATGGAGGAAATAGAACTCTCATACATTGCTGGTGGGAATCTAAAGTGACAGAGCCGCTTTGGAGAACAATTCAGCAGTTTCTTTAAAAGGTTAAACACATACTTAGCATATAATCCAGCCATTCCACTCCTAGGTATCTACCAAGAGAAATGAAAGCATATGTGCATTCAAAGACTTGTACATGAATGTTCACAGTGGTTTTTGTTTGTAATAGCTAAAAACTGAAAACAACCCAAAAGTCCATCAGTGAATAATAAACAAGCGAACTGTGGTATCGCCACACACTGGAACACTACACAGCAATAAAATGGACTAACTATTGAGAGTCTACAACATGGATGAATTTCAAAATAATTATACAAGTGAAAGAAGCCAGGTCCCTCCCCCCAAAAAAGAATGCATTCTGAGTAATTCTACATATATAAAGTCCTAGAAATTATAAACTAACCTACAGACACAGGGCAGATCAGTGGTTGCCTGGGACAGGGGGTGCGGTCGGGGGCTGTGTATGGAGGAGCAAGAGAAAAGGATTGATTACACAGGAGCACAAGGAAACTCTGGGGTGATCGACATGTTATCTTGATTGTGATAATGGCTAAATGGGAGCACACATGTGCCAAACTTAACAAACTGTACATTTTAGATAGGTGCAATTTATTTTGCATCAATTATACTTCAATAAATCTGTTAAGAAATTATTACAAATAAGTGAAAAATTTCAGTTTCTGAGCTGGTTGGGTTGGTTCTCATATAACTCTATGGCTCTTGGCTGTTCCTGGACTTGAAACTCTCTAAACTCCTTAATGAAGACCACGTGGCTGCCTGGGACTATCTCAGGCAAAGTGGGGAGGGGTTACAGACGGTCTCCCAACAATCCTACCGGTAGTGTCACTTTCCATCTCCTTCACAAAGCGTATTTTTTGTTTTTGTATTTATTGTATGTTTCCCTAACCAGAGGTTTCCCTAACCAGAGTTTACCGCTGAGCTCCCTAGGACCTAAACCAATGTCTGGCACATCGTAGAGATGAATAAATATTTGCTGAGCAAATAAATTGTAACTCAGATGCAATGCGGACCCAAGATTTGAAAAGCAAATGTAGATTTCTGCTGTTCTGATTTTTAAGATGCCTCCTTCATTCACTCGCCAAATATTTAACAAATATCTACTGTGCATCGAGCCCCGCACATTTACTCACTAACTATGCTGTCAAAGAAGAACCCGGGGTACGTGGCATTATGATGACATAGGTCGAGCAGGGAGTGACCTACTCTGGGATATGAAGGAAGAAGGGTTCCTGAAGGGTGGCCTGTGGCCTAAGGGGTAGGGAATTCTTAAAGTAAACGGCCTATGCAAATACTCTGAGGTGAGAGAGAACATGCCAAGATGAAGGGACTAAAAGAAAAAAAAAAGGTGGAGTGTCGATGTGGCTGGCCCACAGGAAACCACAGGGTATGGGGCAGAGGGGGTGGCAGGAAGAATTGTTGAAGCTGGAAAGGTAGGCCAGGTGCAGCTCTGGCCTGCAGGCCTTGGAAGCTAAGGTGTTTGACCTTTATCCAAGGAGGAGTGAGACACCATTAGCTTAAATGGCTTTATTAAACCATTCTGCTTCAGTTCCCTGACAGAAAATGGCAATATCAACCTTGTGCAGTAACCTGGGAAGGACTTAATTTAAATCAAGAGGTATTTTAGTGCTTTTACATGTAAAGAACCAAAAGGAGCACAGATTTACTAAACACATTTCTATACTACAGTCTAAGGGGGGTGAGGAGCCAGGCTTTCCAAGGCGAAACAAAGCATCCGAAGTGCAGAGGGCTATGAGTACTTAGGGATCAACTGGTTAGCAAGAGGTACTTCTCTGAGCTAGGTCTGTCTTGAAGAAAAGTAGATCAAAGCTGGAAATGGGGTTGGTACAGGAGTGTTCCAGAAGAATGTGGGTCTAATGTGGGAATTTTTTTTTTTTTAAAGGCAGAGGAGATAAAACGGCAGATAAAGATGAAGAGGTTGAGGCCCCTTTATCAAGGACTCTGAGCGCCAAGCTCAAGCACAGCGGTACTTAATTGAGCAGACGATGGACGTCCCTGAGGACCTACAAGATGACATACCTTCTCGGACAATCAAACTGGCAGGGAAGGAAGACAAAGGAGATGGAGAGCCCTGGATAACATGGACAGTGAGGTCGTGGGCTACTGCCAGAATCCAGGCAGGTGGCAAGGAGGGTCCCGGGACCAATGGCAGTAAGGATGGGAAGCAGGCGACAAGAGATTAGACGAGGGATGAGAGTTTGAGGCCAGGAAATGAACTTACCATTGGAGAACAGAGACAGTAGTGGTTAAGAGAGCTGGATTTTGAACACAGTTTGAAAAGGCTCTCTGGTGGAGAGATTGAGCAGAAGTTGGAAATGCAGGTTTGAAGTTTTCAGAGAGTGGAGTGGTTTAACCTGGGGCTCTGTGACCTAACGACTTGGAGGTGAGATAGAAGTAAGTAAGGGCTTTGCAAGGTTTCCTGGGCATAAAATGCCAGAATTCCCCGCACAAAAGGTCTCTTTCAAAGCCTCACTCTCTGCAGGTGGTGGTCCCGGTCACATCTGAGCTCACTTTCTACTTAATCCGCAGAGAACCCTGCACGGGACCCAGAACGGTGACAGCAGCAGAGTGCCTGGCCAGTCGCTGTTGGCACTTACTGGCGCCTAGGGGTTCCACACTACGTTACCAGCCTCTCTTTATTTCATACATGACCCCATCTTCTGTGTGTGAAAGTGGCTCAAGAGAATCAAGGAACTAAAATCAATCAACTCAAAATAAGAGGGCTCAGCCTAATTCTGCTGCTGCTGTCCCCACTTCAGCGCGTGCAGACCGCCTGGGGAACCTCTCTCCCTCCTCGTCTTTACCCCAAGTGTTCAGATCACTGGGTTGGACACCACCCACAACGCGAGGAGATGAAGACGCCCATCTCGTGGCGTGGGTATCAAATCTCGGTAAAGCGTGCCTCTACACGGCAGGAAGGTATGAAATTAATTTAGTGAGGGCCTTGGAATCTCTTAAATAAGACATGTATTACCATGGTAACTCCTTTCTCAGTTGTGCAGATGCGTGTGGCATGGGTTCACAGTCTCGAAATGAAGAGGCCAACCCCAGCTCTCGGTATCACCTGGGGGCGGCGCCCCCGCGCCCATTCCTGCCGCGCACCCGGCTTCCTCCTCCGCACTCGCCTGAGAACCGCCGCAGGCCCGGGACCTCGCCACGCTTCCAAGAAGGCCGACAAGCTCCGGGGAACCCGGCGGGGTTAGGGGGCAGCCCGTCACCGAGCTGCCACCACGCCGGGCTTGAGCGCCCGCTTCACCCAGGCCACCGGCTCCCCGGCTCGCGGCGAACACGCCGCAAGGACAAGGGGCGCGCGGGCGGGCCGCGCGCACAAACGCGGGGCGGTGCGTCGCGGGGCGGGGACGCGCAGTGTTTACCTGTTGCCGGGACACCGGGGCCTGGCGCCCAGCTGTTGGGCGGAGCCCGGCGGGCCCAGCTAGTGTCCCGGGACCGGCGCCCGCCTTGCTTGTAGCGTCCGCTCCTCCCGGCCCGCCGTGCGGTGCCGGCTGGGCCATTTCACCTCGCGCTACGGCGACGACGATTGTGAGCGCCCGGAACCCGGGCTCGGCGCTGGGGCGTCTGGGTTTTGGGCGGCGGGGCTCGAGCGGGAGAGCCAGGGGCCGAACCAGGGCGGGTACAGCGCAACGAGCAGGCTGTGCTCCGGCCTGTGTGGTATTGGCCTTGGAGTGAGCTGACTCGGGTTTGAGTCTGAGCTCGGCCAGAAAGGTCACTGGCTGACCTTGCAGAAGACTCTACAATCCTCCTTTGAGGATTGAAGTGAGAGTAACATGGAGAAATGTTTGTAAAAGAGCTTGATAGCGGGCCCCAAGCGATTAAGGGCCTGAAAGTTCTTACACTCCGCATGGGATTAGGCAAGAAAGGACGCAGTAGGTGCACTTCTGCTCCCAGTGTTGCGGTTCATCCCCACATCCTCCTCCCTGCAGGGCAAGGCCACAATTCATTCTCTTTTTTTATGACTATTCCTTTTTATCCAACAGTTTATTGAGCATCCACCATGTGCCAGGCATTTCAGTTCTAGGCCCTGGGATTTCATCCCTGAATGAGGCAAAGTCTTTGTTCTTAAAGGTATTTTTGGGGGGTGGGGGTAGGAGGAGGCATTACACTGGGTGTATTAAATTGACGTGATGACTGGTGCTCTTTTAGATTGGTGATTGGAGATGGTCTGAGGAGGTGACATTTAAACTGAGATTTGGATGTTTAAAAGCAGTCAGCTATGCCAAAAACAGGGACAGGACATTGCAGGCCAAGGGCAGGAAAACAAACTGGTCTGGGAAGCAGGGGCGGGGTCTTGAAAAGATCTGCAACCAAGGATAAGTAGTTTTGTTTGCCTTCTTTTGATGGATGACCCGGCTTCCAAAGCAGGGAGTACATGTACCAGTATTGATGTACCAGGTTCTCAGAATCCTTTCTCTGATCCTCCATCAACAAAGCAAACCCAAGTTCCAACTACTTTTAATTTGTCTGGTAGTTTTTTTCATGAATCTGTAAGCTCTTGATATGGTAAATTCCGCCCTCTGTGTTTGCTCTCTCCTCTACTGGTTCCTCTCTCAATCCCTGGGTGATGTGGCCCACACTCCCCGCATTTCTTTGGGTAATCACGACTCTCAGGTTAACCCCCTATTGGGGTCACTCCCAAATCTGTTCCAGCCCTGCTTTTCCTGAGTTCCAGATAGGAGGTCCAGAGTCCTGCTGCAAGTTTTCAAATTCAGCTGTCTCAAAGGAGACCAGTGGTTGGGGGGTGACATGGAGGGTGTGCGTGTGGTGGTGGTGGGGCCGACTGACCTTGCAAAGGGTTAAGAGGAAGATTTGGGAGTGATGGAAATGTTCTGTATCTTGACTGTGGTGTTAGTTACACCAGTGCAGAGCTACCTACATAATTTGCCTAAATCAGTACAAAATGAAAATAGGGGGAAGCAGGAAAAAATGCCACCAATGGTACTAAACTATAAAAACTCCCCTTTCCAGGTATCTTCCCTTCCCATGAGATGCCACCCCACATGGGTGACCTCCAAATCAGTGCAACCTCTGTGATGGGTTGTGTTTGATACATGGATCCTGATGGGTGAGATTCTCTGAATGTGCTGGGTGCATGCTCTGCCCTGAGACCTGGGTGCCAGCCTTACCCCGAAGTGGGGGCAGAGGTGGAATGAGTGGGAATCAAGGTTAGGGGGTGTGGAGGTGACAGATGAGACTCAGCAGTTCATGCTCCAAGTCCCTCTTCCCACACAATCTGTCGTCCCCTCAGACTTCATTTAAAAAATACAAATTCAAAGATAAATTAAAAATTTCAAGACTGTGAACTCTAAGCATTAAACCCCACACACAGGGCCCTTCTGAGAGTAGCACCCTGTGTGATCACTGGTCACATGCCCATGAAGCTGGCCCTGCACAGGTATGTGTACATTTAACAAAATTCATTATACACTGCAAATGGGTATAGTTTGTTAGACATAAATTATACCCCAATAAAGTTGACTTTAAAACTTCAGCTTTTAGGAACTTCAACCTCACCATATCTAAAATCAAGCATTTCTCACAGCAGATATGCATCTCTTTCATTTTGGATAAATGCATCAGCAGTCATCTAGGACCTAACTGGAAGCTGGTCATCTTTGATACTTCTTTCTTAGGTATAGCCACAGCTTGCTCTTACCCACACTTACTCGAGCTACCTCCTGACTTTATGGTCTGTGGATGGTGCCACGTGTGCCCAGTCACCTGGGCTCCAACTTTGCTCCTTGTCAAGCCCTATCTCTCTGAGGACTGTCCTTCCTCTCTCAATCTGCCCCCTTCCCCAGACCACCACCTGTGTCAGGTCTGTACTGGCCCTGCTGTCTCTTAGGCTTCTCTCCACCCTGGTATTTTTTCCTAGAGTGTAGATTTAATCATATCTCACCCATTTTTAAAAACTTTTAACGACTATTTCATACAAAGTTAAGAACTCCTTGTATGGTGTTGATGGCCTTTCAAAATCTTGCCTCAATCTGCTTTTTTAGCTTTATTTACTCTTACAGGCCCTACATACTTTTTTTTTTGCCACACTCCTTAGTCTCTGGGATTTGATGCATTCTCATAGCACCTAGCCTTTGCTTTCCGTGGTCACCCTTACCTAGAGTGCCTTCTCCTCCTTGCCTATCAAAAGCCTATTCATCCTTCAAGGCCCGGTACAAACTGTACCATCTCCGTGAGCTCAACTAATCACCACCAGCACTTTATGCCCATTAAAGTCAGCCAAGTCTCCTGGTATAGTTATACGTTTACTTGTCTCCTCTTTTCCATAGTGGGCAACCTCTTTCAGGCTCATATTTGTGTGCTACAGCAGTAATAATTGACATTAATGGAATAATTTTCATGGTTGAGTGAGAAGTATTATCCTCTTCATTCTGCCAAGCCCAGCAACTTCATTCTCATTGACCTCTGAAACTAAGTTAATGTTGCTCCCCACCCGCTCCTCCTGTTCTGTCTCCCCACTTGTTTCTGAGAAGTGTATTATGCTCCTTGCTCACTTAGTCATCTCATACCAAACTGCCTCTCTTGGACTCTTGTTGGCTGATCTCAAAGTCCAATCCTCAGCCCTTTGCCATTTTTCCTTTGTCTTCTCACATGATGTCAGTGACTACCTCTCTTGGGATGATACAGTCTCTGTCGTGGAAGAATGGCCTCCATCTGAGCCCCAGTCCTCAGGCCCCATTATTCCCTGGACCTAGGGCATCTCACCTTCATTTTAACCTCCCCTGTCAGTGGCAAAATTGCTCTCCCAGTCTTTGTCATCTCTGACTCATCTCTCTCCAACTCGAATGATGAGTCCATCACCAAGGCCTCTGCATCCTCTAGAAATTCTCTTATATTGATCCCTCCCTTGACATCCGCATTATTTTAGACTAGACTTTCGTCATTTTGTATTGAAAATAATAGTTAACATTGAAGGAGCACTGATGTCAGGTGCCTTGCTGAGCGCTTTGCACACATCATGGCATTATTACTTCACTACAGCCAGTATAATAGTTTCTGTTAAGTTCTCCAATTTGCACTTGAGGTCAGAGAGAGTGAGTAACTTGCTCAAGTTCACACAGAGTCAAAGCCAATTTTGTCTATTTGTTCAGCCTGTGCTGTTAAACTAAAATTATTCAGGAAGGTGCCCTGGACTTGAGGCCAGAAGATGTGGGTTCAAGTCTTAGCCTCACTATTTATTAGTTAAGCAATTTTGAGCAATTTCTTTCCTTGAGTTGCTGTGAAGGTGGCATACTAGAATGTATATGAGAGTGCTTTGTGAATTCAAATTGTTGAAAGATATAAAGTTGGAGGGACGGGGAAATGGAATGGGGAGAGGTACAAATTTTCAGTTATGAGATGAATAGGTCCGAGGATCTCACGTAAAACATGGTGACTATAGTTTATACTGTATTGTATAATTGATATTTGCTAAGAGTAGAACTTAAATGTTCTCACCAAAAAGTAAATAAGTGAGGTGATGGATGTGTTAATTAATTTGATTATGGGAATCCTTTTACAATGGATATGCATGTCAAATCATCGTGCTGTAAACTTTAAATATATTATAATTATATTTGTCAATTATACCTCAGTAAAGCTGAAAACGATGTAAAGCACAAGAAAGCATGCTTTGTCAGTGGACTTCAAATGGGACATAAAATTAATGGTCTAGTGAAAGGAAGAACTTGGCAGCACCATTTTCCATTGACCCAACGGATCTTCAGACTTTGCACTGGAGAAAGCCTTAGCTTTGACCTTGCAGAGAGATAAGTGAGGAGGGCTGCTGAGGTGTGTGGCTGAAAAGCAGACTTTGTTATAACACAGAGTGCTGGTTACCATTAGAATCAAAATATGATTGACAACATATGCATTTTTCTTAAATACTAGTCTACTTAAAAATCATTTAATGTTTAGGACTTAAGATCTGTTTATTCTACAAGAACTGAACAAATCTTCCTGTGTAAACTGGAAGATGTTAAATTTAGATAACTATTCAAACTCACATTTGAATAGCACTAGTTAATTTTATCTGTTTATAAATATACATCCTTATGTCTTCTTTATTAATAGTAACATTAACTGTGCTGTTCTTTAAAAAAAATATAACATTACCAGAATTGAAGCATGCATTCTTAGAATATCCAAACTTAGAATATTCTATCACTATTTTTCTTAGAAGCTACATTTTAAAATTTCTATTTCCTCCTTTCTACTCTGGTAGTATCTTCCTTCCTTTTCCCCCTCCTTACTTCTTTTCCTTTTTCTTTTCATCTCATTAAGTTCCACAGTATAGCGCTGCATTCACTTCACCCATTAGAGCCCTAATATCGACGAAGTTACCAAAAATGTAAAATATTCTTTGAAAGTAATTTCTTCTGGTCAGCTGCTATGGTCACAGCAGTGAGAACCCAGGGTACAGTAAGACCCGCTGGGGCAGGCTCAGGAGAGGAAATTCTTAGAGAAGGGGTCAGCAAACTCTAAATATTTTAGGCTTTGCAGGCCTTGTGTCCTCTTTTGCAATGATTTAGTTCTGCTGCCGTAGAACGGAAGCGTTTATAGACAACGTGTAAATGAATGAGTGTGCTGTGTTCCAATAGAACTATTATGGAAACTCAAATTTGAATTTCATTAAATGTCCATGTGTCATAATTTTTTTTCTTCTATAGATCCCCCCGCCCCCCAACCATTTAAGAATGTAAAAATCATTCTTAGCTCATAGGCTGTATGTCAGTGGGCCAGATTTGTCCTAAGGGCTGTAGTTTGCCGATCCCTGATATAGAGAATTAAAATGCTATTTATTATTCTTGCTGGGGGATTCTTTGAAAGAAAGGAGAATGAGGTAGAAAATAATAATAATCGGCAATTGAACACTTGTGTTTAGCAAGTATTATTCTAAGTACTATATGCACATAGACTCATTTAATTCTTACAATTCTAGAAGGTAGGTAGTGTTATTATTCCCATTTTAAAGATGGGGAATCTAAGGTATAGAGAGATGAAATAACTTGCCACTTATTACATAGCTAATAGAATCAGAATCTAGATATAACAACTCACCAAGTTGAGTCCAGTACCTTCAATCTGATCCATTATGCTGTGTAGCCTTTCTGGGTAAAATATCTCACATCTTGTGGTGAAGACACATTTTCACAGGCATACACATGGAGGATCTTTGTCATGCCAGCTCCATTAAGCTTTTGAACAAAAAGTTACAGAATGTTCAAAGTAATGTTTCCATTTGGAGGCAAGGGGACAGATGGCACTCTTATTTAGTAAGGAAGTCATCGAAGGTGTTTGAGCAGAGGTGGAATGACTTTTGCACTTTTGCAGTTCCTTAGAAAGACTGGTTATTTTCTTTCCTATAAAATAAAAGTAAAAATTTTAAATCCTTCCTATTTGAAATTTAAATCTGCCTAATTATAAAGGAACAAACAGCGTGAACACCTCCCCATAGCCCACTCAGGCACAATCTCATTACATTTATAGGATCTGGGAGTCTGAAAGGCCAGAACTGCTGGCAGGAGATGATATTTCAGATTGCTCTGTCCTATTGCTTGGATCTTCTGGCCTAAATATTACTACAAGTTGATTGTATTGAGATACTTAATTCTGTTGTAGACATTTTAGTTGTTACTATAGAAACTATGAAGTAGTGAGATTCTCGTCAGTGAAAATATTAGAGGCTAGATAAGCAACATGGGGAAGCTGTTAAAGGAATTCTTGCACTGGATGGAGATTGGCCTAGATGACCTCAGATCCCTTGCAACTCAAGAATATATTTCCATAGAAAAATCTGCGTCCAAATATTGAGATTTAACATTTTAAGGGTCACATTAGAAAAGTGAAACATTGAGAAAATACATTCACCTGGAAAAGGTGTTTGAAGGTATAAGGTACTCAAGACTTACCTTCTGTAAACAATTCAAACCAGGAATTCTGAAGGAATACCAGAGGCTACTGAAAATTCACTAGTGGAGAAATAAGATAATTCACATGTTTTCTAAAAATCACCAATTAGGACTTAACCAAGCCAACATTTCCAAAAGTATTTCCACGTTGTCGCCAGTACAAACAGAGCTTTGATCTCTCCCTATGTTCTACCCTATTTTAGAGATTACACATTTCCTTATATTATTAAACTTCCAACTAATTAATATCTCAGTATTGAGTGGTGAGAGTATACAGGAAGTGAGTTATTATTTTCACTATGCCTATATTCTTTTTTAGGTTGAGAGAAAATGAGAAAGCAGGAGGCCCAGAAGACAAAGGTTATATTTAATATATAAATAATAAAATCATGCCGTAGTCATATATACTCTAAAATTTTTTGATGTGTCTCATGTTGAAAAGCATCATATAAAATATATATTACTATTAAAGTACTAGCTGCTTATAGAACCTACTGAGTGTTTCACAAATGTTTATAGCTTAATTCTATGTTTTGTAAAACATTCTTTTATTACAGAGAACATTCTGTTATCACACTAATACAGAAAAGTCTGGTCTGGAGTTATAGGTACAGCAGATGGACCATGCCCAGTATTTCTGAGATAATGGCGGGACTTCCCTAACCTCTGTAAATCACCCTGAACACACACTTAGCATGTAGCTTCCCAGTGCCAAAAGAGTGGCAAAGTTCATACTTGACCTAACCTGGATGTTAATTACTTAACTCACCAATTATAGCATTGATGAGATCAAGGTCATGGATTTGATTGTTATATAAACAAGTGTCAGTTGTGTTCCAGAACCACAACTGCATTCTTATTCTCAGCTAGTTTTATTGTAAATATGGGTCATTTCAAGGACTAGAGGAAAGAATTCAAACTCACCACAGCTACTTGGGGGAGAAACAAACCATTGAAACCTTTGTCTGTAGGACTGTCTTTATAACAGTGATTATTGTTAAGGGAAGACCTGGGGGAACTGTGGATAAGGAAGTTGACCAAGAAAGCCACAACTGACTATATCAGCATAAAGCACTGAAATGGGTGGTTTCAAATGCTCACTGGAAATCTGTTGAAAATCCAAGAATCTCAGAAAGTCCCACTACCAATCTCATGAGCTCACTGGGAAGCTGCTGTAACTCATTGTCTCTGGCAATCCAGATTCCCTGCAGGCAGTGTGCTGCTCTGGGCAATGGTTGGCTTGTCCGTGTTAATGGCTTTAAGCTAGTGGAATAAGCAATTTGACTCATGCCACATCTAAGCAGGAGCTTTAAATGTGCTTGCATGGTATGGTTTGTTCTCCTGCTCTTACCCTTTACTTTGAGGACGGTACATCCCAGGTAGGGGCTATTCTATCAGCCTGGTGCCAGAATAAGAAGACATGGGGAACAGAGCCAATCTAGCAAGTCAACCTGAGTTGAGCAGAGCTGCAGCCGATGCCTGGACCCATGAACAAAGTATAAAAGTTTGTCATAAGTTGCTGAGATTTTGTAGTTGCTTATATTCATCTACTCCCAGGGAATACTAATATAAGATTTTATATATTCATCCTTTTTAATTTTCCTTTTGTATCTAATGTCTTGAAGAGTCTCATGTTGAAAAATTTTGAAGACTGAATTTCTAACTCCAGTTCAATTCTCTTTTTATTAAAGTGCTTCAGTAGATAAACAGTGTTATCAACAATCAACACAAACTTTACTGAAATATTCACAAATAAAAATCTTCTACTGTACTAAGCACTCAAATAATGGTCTTCCTTGTAGTAAAAGTTATCACCATTGGAGGTTGAGTAATCTGAATTTATTCCTAACCACACACATGGGCTCTCAGATTGGGAGATTCAAACTGGTTACCTTAGCATATGGGGCTGGCTGTCAATACCTGAATACTAGTCCAAGCAAGTCAGTGAAAAAATGATATGAAATGAAACTAATCACTTATTCTTGGTGCCACAGTTTCTCCATCTGCACTGGGAATTAATCTTCCCTTAGAGAAGACTGGTAAGAAAGTATAAAATGTTAAGGCTTAGCATACTTCTATGCCTCAGAAAGCATTCATGTGCATATTTTTAAAAGGGCAACTTATTTGTTCTTGACACAAATTAAATACTATATGGCTTTAAAAGAAATAGATTGATGACTGCTCTTTCCTTGAACATTATCTTTTTACTTAAATCACATTAAATTTATAGAATAGAGTTCAAAGATGATATGCTCAGTAAATTATTTTGATTGCTACAAGGACTACCGTCCTACTTTGGCAAAATTTACAAATTATTTTTAAAAGATTCATCCATTACATACTTAACATTCATCATGACCTTTCCATAAAAACAGAAATCCTGTTACCCTAAAGCACAAAGAAGGGAAATCCAAGCTTTAATTAGAGTTTTGGTATAGTTCCTTTGGACATGGTTTATAACTCAATCCTGACTTCCAAATGAGACTGTGGTTGACAAAGGACAGAGTAAATACACCAGTTTTGATTAGACCTCCTGGCACAATTAAAGTGGCCTGGGCTATCACAAAAAAGATTCAGTAGTGTCTATGTTGGAGGAAGTGATTTAAAGTTAAAAAAGCTTGAAAACATAGATGACAAATGTGGGGCTAGAAGAGAAATAAAATTATCCTGATTGAATCAGCAACTTTTCTAAAACCGTTTCTGTTGGGAAGTATGTGATTCTACTGTAAGAGAAGTTTAAAGAAGTTGGTACTTTATATAGTCAAAGAATGTGCAATACTTTCAGGTACTAACAATATCGCTAAATCTCCACACGACACTTTGAAACCACTAGCAGAAAAAATTAATTAATCAGCATAGAAACAGAAAAATGGAAAGCTGTAATACTCTTGCTGTTCAATTAATAATCGATCATGAGCACAAATGGACATGCCATCTCAATAAATAAAACTTTCTGTAGTTAATTTAAAAAATGAATTAGATTAAAAAACCCACAATTTTCTGCAGTGTACTCAGTCATTTTAAGACTAAGATAGTTTCAGAAATATAGAAATATCCTTAAAGAAGTCCTGACTGTTTCACATTGGTTGTGGTGGAGCACTCTAGGCCCTATACAGAGTACACAAGGAAATAATTTTCACATTGAACATAGTTTCTTGGTGAAGAAAGGAAAAAAACTTTACACAATACACAAAATACACATGCAGTAGTCAGGTAATGGTAAATCATCCTTCACAAAGGAGGTACAGGTGCTCTAAAATCATCTTAACGCTAATGATTTTAGAAAGAGGTGAGTGTCAAAATTTTAAACTTAAAATACAGACTTAATTTCAAAGTTGGTTTTGCCAAACCTCTGGTAAATCCTAGGAATCCAGGGTGAGCAAGAAGAAAATGTTCTCTTTTATGACATGTACCTCCCATTACTATGATGAATGCCACAGGCCAATGCCATAATGAAGTTATTCTCACTCTTGGGGCCAGCAAAGGCCAGGCTGGTTCTAGGTAAGACTAAAAAGTAGGGAGAAGTCCCACAAAAGAGCCTATCCAGGACTGATCCAGCAGGAGACTTCCAAGGCCACCTGGCATCCAAGAGACCCCAGAGCAAGTTGATCGATTTTTTTGTGACTCAGGGTCACCGCCTTGCACCACCTCGAGGCTCAGCAGGCCCCAGAACACCCTGAACTACACTGGATGTCCTTGGACTGGGCCAGCTCTCCCCTGGACAAGCACTTCTAGAGCTGGAAACAAAGGCTGGATGGGCAGGGTAGGCAGAGCACCATTTATTGGAGCCAACCCCCATGAATCAGAGGCTTTGCAGACAAGAGCTTAGTCAGTGATTCTGGAGCAGCTCTTCCCAACAGATGGGCTGTGAAAACACCTCTCTTTCCAGCCAGATCTCATATGAATAGTGGAAATCCTCAGGCAGATCCAACCTCTGCCCCAGCACACTTTGCAAGCAGTTATCCACAGGTGAAAATTCAGAGTCCTGGGGTCTGTCATATCGGCGGCTGTTAAAAGCCTCAATGTTGGCCCTCAAGGTGCATTCTTCCGCTTGGAAGTCCCATGGCCTGGCATCTATGTCTGTGATGGGAAGAGAGAAAGAAAAAGATGTATACAACTCAGGACACTGCTCCCCTTACTACAGAGCATGGTCTATAGGATACCAACAATGGACTGCTCAGAATTCCTTTTTCCGTAAAGAGCAATGTACAAAGTAAGTAAACAACATGCTGCCACTCAAGTTCGAAACACATGCCAACATATATATGCTTTTATATGCAGAGAGTATCTTTGGAAGGGTAGTCTAGAAACCGGTAACAGTGATTACCACTGAGAAGGAAACGGGACTCTGAGGGAGGTAGATTCTTTTACTGTATTTCCTTTTCATTTTTTTACTTTCTTACTAGTTAGTTATACGTACAGTAAGTCCTCAACATCATTGATTGGCTCTATGACTTTAAGTAAAATGATATATAATGAAACCATTTTTACCATAGATTCACTGATATAAACAAGAGTTAAGTTTCCAAAGGCATCTCATCAACGTTATAATGGAATGACTGAATGAAATGATGTTATTTGAGGACCTGCTCATTATATTTTCAAAATGGCAACTTAGTTTCCTTTCTTGAGCCTTTTCTCCAGGATGGGAGTTTCCCCATTGGACAGAATCACCAGCTCTCAAAGAATGGGGAGAGGGAGGAAGGGGTACAACAAAAAGAATCAGAATGGACCAATTACTAAACTTTCCTGATTCCCTGCGACCTCTCTCAGCACATGATAAATATGTGTGTCAGCTTATGTTAAGATTACAAGGTGAAGGCTTCCATGGAGGTAAAAACAGAAAACATAATCTGTTTTGCTTCTATTTATCCCACTTAGGCACTTACTTCAGGGCCAGAGATGCATATTTCCCAGATCTTTTATGTCCCACACACAATGGTTTATCTTAAGGAAGTACAGTTGGGGTTTAGGCTCATGAGAGTAGCACAACAGATGGGCAATTTGCAGGATAAAACATCTTCATGTTTTAAAAATCTATGAGAAGTTAAACAATTAATTGTGCTTTATGTCTTATAGTAAAAGTTGCATCCTGGCTTCTTATCTGCCAATCATATGCTTCCCTTAGTTCTCTGTACCCTTTACTAGAACACCCTCTAAAATTCAGGCAGGTTACAACCCCCTGCAAAGACAAGTTATTAGTCATCTTACCAAAAACTCTTAAATGCAGTTATGCAAATAATGGTCAAATCCCACTAAAACAAATGTCAATACAATTAAAAAGCTCTCCAAAATAAATTCTTCCGAACTCTGGTCAATTCTTCCGAACTCTGGTCAATCTTAGCATAAGTCTTGGAAAGTCAGCCAGATATTTTAATGTCTCCTATGAGGCAATATGCAGTTCCCTGCATTACCTAGAATGTCCCATAGCCAAAAAGTTTGAATACATCAAACCTTTAGATCTAACTTACAATTTATAGGTAATACCAGAGATAGAGGAATAAGGTAAATGTCACCACAAAGAAGCAAGTAGACAAATTCAGAAAGTGGATATTCTGCAAGAAACTTGGCCTAGTTCTTCAATTAGTGTTTTGGGGAGTAATGAGGGGAATGACTGCTAGATTCAAAACTAATAAAAGGATATAACAACCAGATGGAATTTATGGTCCTGGGTTGGATTATGACTTGGAAAAAAATAGCTTTAAAGAATGTTTGGGGGCACCTGGGGAATTCTCAATATAGACTTGATTATTAGATAAAATAAAAATGTAGCAATATGGAAAGGTGGAGATAATATTAACTGAAAAGAGATTATAAAACAGCACATACAATTTGCTTTCATTTTAATAAAATGTGTATATATAGAAAAATCTGGAAGAATATACAATAAGTTGTTAACAGTGGCAATCTTTAGGTGGTACAAATATGACAGAAATATGGTAATACTGTAAAATGTTTGCTTATTTGTATTTTCTAACTGCTTTGTAATAAGAAAAGGTTATTTTAATTTAAGAAATCTCTTGGGAAACCTCATTTAAAGGAATGTTTTGGAAAGGAGGTAATTATCCCTCAGTGTACTTGTTTAATAAAATGAATTTTCATGGAAAGAGTACATGCTAGATTGGGATAGTGCCTTAGTATGTTATATCAGCACCTGACCTATAATCGCATATTTTCTCATCCAAAATATGTAACAATTCTACGAGAGTATAGGTAAATGTTTACTTAGTTTTGTTTAAACCCCAGGTCAAGAGCTCTGAGAACACTCACCATTCCCGTAAGCCCAGTCATCATTCATGCGGTGGCGCACTTTCTGGTAAATGGCTGACATGGTTTTCATGTTGCTTTTCCTCCACTGGCGCCCTAGGTACTTCGTCTGTATTTTAAGCAGCTTCAGGACATAAAGTTGCAGCATGGCCTGCTTGACCTTGAGAGCCCGCTTTAAAATTGGAGCAGATTTAAACACCACCAGCATCTGTCCATTCAAAGAGGGGTGGAGTGAAGAAAGACAGATAAAAATCTAAAGTTCTTTGGAATTTCCAACTCACAGACAAATTAAGCCAAACCTGGCTGGCCTCAGATTACCCTGGGAAACTTTTGAGACTCTATGGTCCAGGCTCTACTTGGATTTAGACTTCAAGAAATAGAGGAACGACTCTATTTTTATTTCTCAATTAAAAGTCTCTACTAGTCAAAGTGCATGAATATATAGTGCAAAAAAATTCTGTCATATATCTCATTTCCACTGTTTGCAGTTTCTTGTGTACCTTCTGGAGATAATTCTATATATGTATTATTATTTTTATTAGTAAAAATGATAGCCAACTATATATTCTGTCATATTGTTCCACACCTTGTTTTTTTTAAAACAATGTATCTTGAAAATTATTCCATATCAGTATAGAACTGCCTCATTCTTCCCAATGGTTGTATAATATTCTATGATAAGGAGGTATCACAAATTATTTAACCATTTGGTCCCATATTAATGAGCATTTAGGTTGTTTCTAATCTTTTATAATTACAAACAATGCTGCAATGAATATTCTCAGACTTGTGTCATTTGGGATATGTGACTACAATCCAAGTAACAATGCTAACTTCCCTACCAGAGCGGCCCAGAGGGAGGGTCCATATTCAGCTCCCCGAAAAGAAATGGACTGGGAAATAATTATCTCAAATAAAATAGATGTCCAGAATTAGGAGGGGCTAAATCTTATGTAGCATTCAGTGTCTGTCTATCGAGTTCGCAAAGCCGGAGGTCTATAAATATTTACCGAAGATGAAAAAAATTCAGTCAAATGACACCTCCGTGATCTGAAGCCCCACTCACCATGGTTCTGGAATGCTTCCATTTGGTCAGTTTATTAAGCAGCCTCAGAAGGTTGATGCAGGAAAAGAGGTTCCTCCAGCAGAACTGGTTGTTGTCTCCAGCTTCCTGTAATAAGGCATGACCATCATTATCTCAATCCCTACAAGGCTTTCATTCCCACAGAAGTCTGAAAGTCACTATTGGTCAGTTTAGATGAGGCCTTCCATAGAAATGCTACCTCTTCATCAGCCTGCTCTTCAGACACTGAGGCCTTAAAGCATGCAGTATCTTTCATTTAAAAATACACAGCTGCCAATCTTGGAAGACTCTACCTAGAGCAAGTATTGACTGGTTAGAAAGATGATACATGGACATAGGAACTTCATTTAAGTAAGTTTTCTTATACAGCTTCCTAATTTAGGATCAGAAAAAAGATGATAGAATTTTACCCCCAAACACTTTACAACACTTACATAGGCTGTGTTTGTAACTGCTAGCTGTTCTGGTAGATTTCAAACTATTTTGGATGGATCTGATATTCATTATGGCTGAGTTTTTTTTTTTTTGAATTAGCCCCGACCCTCCCTTATCAAATATATTGCAATAAATTGCTTAATTCTCCAGCACAGAAGGGAAAAATGGCAGATGGTTAATTCTAACTAGATGTTTCTCCTCTTGTATGTTTCTTGATATCTTATGAGCACTTAAGCAGAAATAACAGATGGATGTCAGATTAGAAACAGGTATCTACTCATAGAATCTATTTTTGGGGACAAAAATAGAGTCCTTATGGATTTGAAGGCCTATAAATATATAGCGGTGTTAGAAACTACATAAATCGATGAGGATGCATCGCGGCCAAACTAATATCTTGGAAATTCCTCATGTCTACAAAGTGATAGGAGAATGTAGGAATAGGCGGTGTATGGAAGTAAGCTGTCATCTTAAGAGAGGAGGGGAGGCATCTGAAAAATGCAAAGGAAAGGGCTTGCAGAAATGACCGACGCAGCCAGTTAAAGTCCATTCCTGACTGCCTTCTCTCCGCCTCCAGGACTCTCCAGCTAATATGTTTTCCCATAGCTACTTCCCCCACCTCAAGGATTCTCTAGCTCACATCTGTTGATTCATGACTTGCCCACCAAGTAATGTTCTTCCTTATCTCTGTAACTGTGTAGGAATAACAAAACTGTATAAAACTGCCTGTTATGTTACAATCAAGTCTCAGCCTTTGGATAGGAATCCGCCGAGCTGGTGCCGGCATCAATAAGTGCTGCTTCTTGCTTATATCCTCAGTGTCCTGTCTCTCTGTTAGAGAATCCCATAATGCCAAGGTTGCAGGTTCTACAAAACACACGACCTGTAAATAGATAAGACCAGTGGCCTGGAAATTCCTCTCCCTTTGTAGTCCCCCACCCGAAGCTCCTCCTCTTCATCCTGAGTCATGAGGTACATGTGAAATCTCAGACAAAGGAATCACGTGCCCCTTGCATGGACACTGCAAGGGTATATAAGCTGTAAGAAATCTAACCTAGGAGAGCTCGTGCTTTGGTGCTGTTAAGCCCCATGCTCTCTGCTGGCAATAAATTCTCCTTCTTCTAACAAAGTTGTCTGAGTGTCCAATTTTCTCTGTTGGGTGTCGCTTCCTGTAACATTCCTGATGAATGGAAAATTACCCCCTCCTCTCCCAAATTAATTTGAAGCAAGCAAGAGAGGCATACATATAATGTGGATCTAACATCCAAGATTTTTGAGAGTATTAGGCTTGCCTAAGATATAAATGAGACAATAGGTCAAAACGTTTCAGGAGGATTTGGGGGAAAAATGGCGTAGATGATAGAGGTTCTGTTCATCCCTCTGGTGACCAGATTGGGGTTATGACAAGGAGCAGCAGCAGGCAGAAGTCGCCTGGGATCTAGATGAACAAGCCATACAACTAGGGAGAAATACAGGAAGTCACCCTGCAGCGGTGGAGGGTGAGCCCGGGTGAGGACCTGGGGCTGCCCAGTCTCCAGCAGCTGAGTGGGATGGAGGATGCGGCAGCGGCAGACGCCTTTTAAAGGGGCCATGTCCGAGATCAGATTTTCATGGTAACAGACCTGCTCACTCTGAGCATCAGTGCCAATTTGGCTGCGCGCAGTAGGCACCAGGGCACAGGAAGACATTGTTGGAGTGAGGGCTGAGGAGAGACTTGCTCTGTATAGAAGTGCCAGCAGTATACATTGTTCCCTGTTGAACCCTCCCATAGACCAGTGCATCAGACACAGTGCCGCCATAGCTGTGACGTCATCAAACTGGATGAGAGGTCACTCTGCCCAGAAGATTTCCTGAAACCCTACCTCTCCCAACTTGCGGCCCCACCCAAGCCACATATATGTGTATCCTCAGCAAGTCAGGTGCTCCTAGCTGAGCAGCGCCTCACACTGGAGGCAGCTGGCCTCAGTTTCTGGTGTGGCCTTTTGAGGCAACTATAAGCACAGCATCTGTGGATTGCTTGCTGAATCTTAACAGGTGGCCCCAGAGGGGTAGAAGCTTGGGCTAAATTTGGCCTGCAGCTGAACCCCTCTCAGGACTGTGCCACTGGACGCCTACTTCACAAATTCACACTACTAAGACCATGAGACTCAGGAGCTTTGCTTAGTACATAGAAACAGAGATGGAAAGGCAGCCAAAATGAGAAGACAAAGAAGCAGAAACCATATGACAGAACAGAATAGAGATCCAGATATAATGAAGTCAAATAATCTAACAGATGCAGAGTTGAAGACACTGGTTATAAAAGT